TGGACTATCTAATGCAGTTATTAGAAACATACAAATTAAAGAAATTAATTCAGATTTAGAAGAACTACGAAATGCACAGAGACCTGAAAGCTGCAGTATTAAAAGTTATGACAAGTTCTGTAATAATAGGTATTTGTATGGTCAGCACAGTAACCGGACCAGGCAATGTGATGTAGTAATTGCGCGAATTCGCCTTGGCTATAGACACATCTGGCAGGTTAGTGAGGCTGAGCCACTACCAGAATATTCAGATTGTAAACTCTGTGATAAACCTTTAATGCATTCACTAGAACACTATATTGATGAATGTGAAACCGTAAAGGACTTTAGACCTCCTGGCCTATTGTACCACCAACTGTGTAACTATTTTATTGACTCAGGTGTTCTGGACGACATCCTAACAATTTACCCAAAATTTGCTTGTCCATTTTAAAGAATGAAGAACAATTTCTATTTATACTCTAAGCTGCATCACTTATGAACCCATCCCTGCCCTTGTGTGGCAGTGCACAATAGAAAGTTGTTTTCACATATCCACACATTAAAACATTGATTGTAACCGTGATATATATGTGCTTCAGCCTACAGTTTAGACCTATTGTCTTATGTATGACCCTCTGTCCTGCGTGACAGTGAATACTAGCATTAACCTCAATTTAATAAGACTATCAAAATCCTCAGATTAGGCAAAATTGTAATTAATTTTGTCAATAAAGATGTTAATAATAATAAATAAAGTTCCTGTTGATGATCTGTTAGAATTTCTACGTGAGGAACTGCCGAAATATAATTTGAGCTTGCAAACCAATAAAGTATTGGAACTTATCAAATTGTGTATAAAAGACAATTATTTTAGTTTTAATGGAAAATTTTTCAAACAAACATTTGGTATGGCGATGGGCAATCCCCTGTCCCCAGTTTTAAGCAATTTGTATATGGAATTCTTTGAAACAAAAATCTTATCCAGGATTATCCCGGCTAATGTAGTTTGGTTTAGGTATGTTGATGATATTTTGTGCTTATGGCCGTGCAACAAAGACTAGATAGTTTTTCTTAATGAACTCAATTCTTTGGTACCTTCAATAAAATTCACTTGTGAGACTGAGGAGAATGGTACTCTTCCGTTTTTGGACATTATGATTCATAGAGTCACTAGAAAGTTCAAATTTAATGTGTATAGGAAACCTACCAACGTGGGGTCGTATGTTCATTTTTATTCGAATCATCATAGTAAAGTTAAACAGGCAGTATTTTCAGGAATATTTCTACGAGCTTTGAGGGTTTGCAGCGCTGAGTTTTTTGATGAAGAGATTGCTAAAATATATGAAATTGGGAAGAGTTTACAATATCCTAAGAGGTTTTTGGATTTCTCGTTTGTACAAGCCAAGCGTACGTTTTATAATCACGTCCCTAAGGCGAAACCAAAAATTATTAACTCATTGGTGGTACCTTATGCGAGTGGACTTGAAAAATTGTCTCTGATTTTTAAGAAACTTAATATAAATTTGGTGTTCACTAATAGTACGATCAAATCCAATTTAATAAAAAACTCCCCTGATACAGCAGGTTGTGTGTATTCGATTCCCTGCAATGATTGTGATTCTGTGTACCTTGGACAAACAGGAAAGTCCTTACAATTGCGGTTGTCACAACATGCTTATAGTATTAGAACTGCCCAAACGTCTAATGCATTGTATCTACATACGAGTTTATGCGATCACAATATTAACTGGAATGGGGCAAAAAGCATTACCATTTGTGGGGATTTCGTGGAACGGAATTTGATTGAGTCTGCTCTAATCAGTCAGTGTCCAAATCTTCTTAATGTTAGTACTGGTATGTACAAACTTGATCCATTTTTAAGTTATAATATTGCACAACAGTTTACGAAACAACTCTGATAGAGAGGCTTACAATGTCTCATTATAATTGTATATTCATATATTGTGTGTTCATGAGGCTTTTCTTTAATCTTTCATCCTTATTCTCTGACCGCTTAATCCTCTTTGACCATTCTAAGCTAAGCTATACCTGTTTTTGGTTAATTCTTTCCCTTGGGATGGGTTGGTCAGGTGTCGGCCTATATATCCTCCCCCTTCTCCCTTCTCCTTAGTCAGTCTGGTGTTGACAAAGGCTTTAACAAGCCGAAACGTTCACCTCATTTCATATTTCTCTGGATTTTCCGCATAAAATGATCAGTGTTTTGTGATCGTCAATTGCATATATATATATATATATATATATATATATATATATATATATATATATATATATATATATATATATATATATATATATATATATATATATATATATATATATATATATATATATATATATATATATATAGTATATATATAATATCCCCCATATATATAGAGAGCTATGACTGGTAATATAAGATTACTTTGTGTGGTGTAAATCATATGATAAAGGTCTTTAACTCCAGCATGTGCTTTCACTTTATAAACCAAACGTTCTGGTCTCAGGGTGGTCTGGCCAGAACGTTTTGGAACGTTCACCCACAATGCTCATGCCCACCCACCGCCACCATGCTCATGCCCACCCACCGTCACCATGCTCATGCCCACCCACCGCCACCATGCTCATGCCCACCCACCGCCACCATGCTCTCTGAGCGAGTGTAGCCTACAATGAAATTTTATTGTCTAGAAATAATATTTAGATAATATAGGATTATAATAAAATTAAATATAGGATTTAAAGATTATTGGAAGTACCCGCAGTACTAATTGATTCCTAGTAACAGATTTGTATTCTCCATTACTGGAAGTCAATTGATGTTTCATGTTTTTAATTAAGATATTCTTCTCGAAACTTCTAGATTCTTGAGAATTCATGCTCTAAGTTACATAGGCGTCTATGGGCCCAATGGCGTACGTGATTATGATGACATTGTCAAGTAGGATCGAAATGTAGGTTATAATGAATTTGATGTGATTCTGATATAATATAGAAATAATAATTTCTTAGATGATAATGTTGATATATTGAGTAAAATTTCCAACAAAACTCTCTTATAAGATGGTCTTATATATATATGCATATACATTATGGTCCTAAGGTTTGGTTTAGTAAAATCCGAGGCGTAGAATATGTTAGGCTAGGTTATGTTAGGCAAGTTGGCTGGATTTGTTTGGGTATTGTGGATGAAGCCATCCACAATACTGTCTTTGTCAGTATCTGTCTGTTTTTCTATGAATGCAACTATGCCTCTCTGTTTCTATCTCTGTCTCTCACTCTCTTACATATAACACAATATTATTGTCTAACGTGTGGTTAGTCGCCAGTGAGAGAGGCTTAATGGTGTGAAATACTAACAAATTAGTTACCCGTTTACTTGGTTAAAGGAGATTGCCTTGAGAAAGCTTTGAATCTGTGGCAGTATCGTTTGTTTTATACAAGTTCGGACAAATTATAGACAGCAGGAAATTTCTGTTTATATTCCCGAGATTACTGAATAATAGTGTATATTATTATAAGAATTTGTTTTTACTTTGAAAATATTTAGCTGTGTACCTGGCAGGCAGAGCCAAAAATTATCGTGGGGATCTGAATGTGGCCGTGGCATGTTGTTATTTTTGGAATTCTGGCGACTCCGATCAGCCTATGTCCATTCTGAACCCCAGACCTCCGTCAATCTTGCTGAAGCTAGTCCCAAGAGCAGGTCTGTTCCTTGAGTTCATAAGTGATATCAATCCTATAACAGAGCATGTCTGTCAGTCCAAAGTTGGAGGCCAGACGTTTAGGGCAAAGTTCACCCAAATTGGCATAGAGAATGGTCTTGGGCAAGGGCTGAGCATAGGCTGGTCGTGGTTGCCAGAATTCAAAAGGGAACTGGGTGCCAGGGTCATATTCGGACACCCACGACTGTTTTGGGCACTGCCCGTCAGCATATTTACAAAAATGTTTTGAAAAAGTATGTACGAATATAATTTTTTTTATATCTCTATAGAAATATACACAACCATTATTCACTGATCTCCGGAAATTAACAGATATTACCTTCTATTTAAACTAAAGCCATAATCCAGTAAAACCTGTAAATTATGTTTAGAACCTTCACTTCACCCTCGGATGGAAAAATAAAGGCAAAACTGACAAATTCGAAAGGCGGAACTATTATATTCTGCATGAATGCCATTTAATATTATAAAGACTTAGTAACACTTGCTCTTATTTGCTGTCAGTAATATTGTAGGATTGAGATAAAGACACGGGGGTGTGAAGGGGAGAGAGGCGAAAAGGGTGTGGGGGGGGGGAGGGTGGGTGGGGGGAGGTGGATATGGGGTGATGAAGAGGCAGGAAAAAGAGACATATTTTCTGAGAGAAGGAAAAATCGGAGGGATGGGGTTGAGCATCAATTGTACACACAATTGATTCTCATGTATCCTAAACATATTGAAGTGATTTGATAAAATATCTGTGCCCAATAAAGTCACGAGTGTTGGGATTAAAAATCTGACGAATTTCCAGTACTTCTGTTTAGTGTGTAGCAGAGCGGTTATTATACTGGACATGCCAAGGGACATGGAGGCCCTGGCTGACTAGGTTCGAATGTTTCTGGGGTTAAAAGTTTTCTGATATATGTATATGTATGAGAAAAGCATTATAGGGCAATGGAGTAATTTTAACCAGCGTTCTGGTGATTAACAGACACCTGCCAAAACCGACTTGGCCATGATGGGACACAAGGAAACCAACCTGGAACACTACTGAATTCACTGGAAGGTTCTGGAGGCTCCTAAATGGAACCCATCCAGGATTTTACAGTCGATCCACCCACACTCTGACCTACATATAATGGTATGTACACTGTTATGATCCACTTTCAAATCACAATGGCGTGATGTATCAGTGAGAAAATCATTTGAGGCAATGGAGTGACTCGAACCGGAAAATCACCAGAATGTTGGTTCAAGTTGTTTACATATAAGTCTTGCTGCAATAAGCATAGTCAACGCTGCAATTGATCTCACCTCGATAATAAACATCATTATTCTATCCAGTTGAGGTTTGTAAGGAGCATCGTGAGGTATGGGCCACGCTCCCCTGCTTGATAAAACACTCTCTCGTCCAATGTACAGTAAAGTACGGCCGTCCACCCTCGTGTAGTAGTCGGCGATCGCCTGCATCAGGTAAAGTCGGCCGTTCAGGAAGGCCTGTCTGGACAGTGACATTATAGTAGTTCCTTATAAACGTATGAAAGTAATGAACAATGTTTGAATTGGGTTACATCGTAGCTTTAAGGCAAAAAAAGATATTCTATGCTCCTCACTCTCTCTGGCTGCTTTCCTAAAGGTAGCTTTGCAAATTAATGTGCCTTTTAGATGAGATTATATCCATGCAGTTCATAGACTTTATTTACACTAAAATGTACACAAGGAGCTCCTTCCCCTCCCACGGCTCCACACATGTAAAATACAAACTCGAGGAGTACTCTTTCTATACCTGTAAAAGAGAATGTCTGTCTGTCAGAGGTTGGAGGCCAGTCGATTGTTGTTAGCTTCACCCAACATTCCATTATGAATTATGACTGTATGGAGAATTTCATAAGGGAATCAGGGTTGAACCACAAGACTCTCCTAAAGTAGTATCGGCTCTTATTGCAATAACCAACGACTCCCATGAAATTTCAAATGTGGGGTTTAATTGGCCATAGTGTGTCCATTCCGGCATGTTCATTAAGACGGGAGACTTACCAGAACTATGGAAGACGCCTGATTTTGTCCCAATATACAAAAAGGGTGATAGACAAGAAGCACTGAACTACAGGTCAGTATCCTTAACTTGTATACCATGCAAGGTGATGAAGAAGATCGTGAGAAAAACCTAGTAGCACATCTGGAGAGAAGGGACTTCGTGACAAACCACTAACATGGGTTCAGTGATGTTAAATCTTGCCTCACAGGTTTATTAAAATTATACGATCAGGTGACAAAAATTAAGCAAGAATGAGAAGGATGAACAGACTGCATTTTGTTGGACTGTCGGAAAGCCTTTGACACAGTATCCCATAAGAGGTTGGTGCATAAGCTAGAGAAACAGGCAAGAGTAACTGGTAAGGTGATCCAGTGGATATAGGGAGTACCTAAACAATAGAAAGCAGTGAGTTACAGTGAGGGGTGAGACTTCAGATTGGTGTAAAGTCATTAGTGGAGTCCCACACGGCTCTATACACAGATTCATCCTGTTTCTTATATTCCTAAATGATCTTCCAGAGGGTTAAGACTCATTTCTCTCAATGTTTGCTGATGATGCCAAAATTATGAGAAGGATTAAAACAGAGGAGGACAGCTTGCGGCTTCGAGAAGACCTGAAAAAATTCAAGAAATTGTCCAACAAATGGTTGATAGATTTTATCCCAAACAAATGTAATGTAATGAAGATAGGTGTAGGGAGCAGGAGGCGAGATACAAGATATCATTTGGGCTGATGAAATTCTTCAAGCATCAGAGAGAAAGACCTGGGGGGTTGATATCACGCCAGACCTGTTCCCTGAAACCCATATCAAGAGGATAACATCAGCGGCATATGCCAGGTTGGCCAACATAAGAACGGCCTTTAGGAACTTGTGTACGGAATCATTCAGAATTTTGTATACCACATATGTCAGACCAATCCTGAAGTATGCAGCTCCAGCATGTATTCCATATCTCGTCAAGCATAAAACTAAATCGGAGAAGGTTCAGAGGTTTGCCACCAATCAAGTGCCTGAACTGAGGGGCATGTGCCATGAGGAGAGACTACAGTTAATGAACCTCACGTTGCTCTAAGACAGCAGAGTTAGGGGAAACATGATCACCACATACATGATTCTCAAAGGAATTGATAGGGTGGATAAAGACAGATTATTTAACACAAGGGGCCCACGCACTAAATTAAATGAGAATTACACCCTTTCTGAGGTCCATGCAAGAGAAAGTCCTGAACCATTGGACAACTCTTAATGGGAGAAAGCAACTTTCCCTGTAAGACTCGGTGATCTTGGTGTGTGCACAGTATCTTAGATACCTTCCTTTCCTTCCCCCATGTATCGTATGACATTATAAGAGATATCTTACCAGAACCCCTGAGTGATTCAGCAGGGATACACGATCCTGCTTTCACTGAAGGTTTAAATCAGTGGGATGCTCTTGCAGCCCCAGCACCCATCATAGAGCCAACAAAGAACACAAATAGTCCAGCTGGGACCACCCACTAGTGAAAAAAAACTGATGCCATGCTTAGCACTGCATCATCAAATAAGGAGAAATCCCGCCTTAGAACAGTGCCTGCCACCCCATGCAGACAACTTTCTTCTGGCAGTACCCATGACAGCAACAGGCACGTGTCTAGAGCCAGAATATCTTCGTGTAGCATTGGTTCTCCGCCTCGGTGCCCAAATTCACACTGAATACAAGTGTAATTGCAACAAGTTGAAAGCAGACCAATGTGAACTGCATGGGTTGCACTGTGGAAGCTCCAAGGGCTAGCATGCAAGACATAACGAAGAGAATTACATCATCAAGAGGAGCCTTCTCTCAGCTCAGTGCCCAGCAGAGAGAAAACCCTGCATCCTAGTGGATCAAAATCAGGATGACCCTGCACTTCGCCCAGATGGCATCACCATGTACCCTTGGTAGAGGGGCAGACAGCTGGTGTGGTACATGTGTGTCTACCCTCGCTGACACATACATACGCTCTGGTGCTGATCAAGAAGGTGGGGCGGCCAACCACAGGAATACAGCAAAATCAATAAAGTACAGGCGACTGGAAGTTCAATATACATTTGCTCCCATAGAGTCTGAGACGCATTGCCCCTGGGGTAGGAGCGCCTTGGGATTTCTCAAAGAATTGGGTTCCAGGCTCATTGACGTCACCAGAGACCCAAGACCTGCCAGTTTCTTGCTTCAGTGCCTCAGTGTGGTGATCCAGACGGAAAACGCCTGCAGCATCCTTGGTTCCTGTCCAGAAGCACAGGAGCTTCTAGAGCCATAAACTTTAAACACTTATTGCATTAACTAATGTAAATTTTGAAACCTTTTAATACGACATAAAGAACAACAAAACACAACAGAAAGGGGGTGGTAGGATAAAACAATATAGAAATAGTATTAGAGGAGACCTAACAGGACCTCCTCCTATTAGAGGAGGCCCGATTTGCCTAACAAGCCAAATTTTCATGAATTATTATATTTTCTCTAAATTTTTTCTTATGAAATGATAAAGCTACCCATTTCATTCTGAATGAGGTCAATTTTTTTTATTGGAGTTAAAATTAACGTAGATATATGACCGAACCTAACCAACCCTACCTAACCTAACCTAACCTATCTTTATAGGTTAGGTTAGGTTAGGTAGCCGAAAAAGTTAGGTTAGGTTAGGTTAGGTAGGTTAGGTAGTCGAAAAACAATTAATTCATGAAAACTTGGCTTATTAGGCAAATCGGGCCTTGCATAGTAGGCTGAGAAGTGCGTTCTGGCTACTAGGTACGACATATATATATATATATATATATATATATATATATATATATATATATATATATATATATATATATATATATATATATATATATATATATATATATATATATATATATATGTCGTACCTAATAGCCAGAACGCACTTCTCAGCCTACTATTCAAGGCCCGATTTGCCTAATAAGCCAAGTTTTCTGAATTAATGTATTTTCGTCTAATTTTTTTCTTACCTAATGATAAGCTACCCTTTTCATTATGTACCTAACCTAACCTTACCTATATTAGAGTTAAAGGTAACGTAGGGATATATGACCGAACCTATACCAACCTACCTAACCTAACCTCCTATCTTTATAAATTAGGTTGGGTTAGGTAGAGAAAAAGTTGCTTTATCATTTCATAAGTAGGTTAGGTAGTAAAAACATTAATTCATGAAAACTTGGCTTATTAGGCAAATCAGGCCTTGAATAGTAGGCTGAGAAGTGAGTTCTGGCTACTAGGTACGACATATATATATATATATATATATATATATATATATATATATATATATATATATATATATATATATATATATATATGTCGTACCTAGTAGCCAGAACTCACTTCTCAGCCTACTATGCAAACCTAACCTAGCTTTTTTTGGCTACCTAACCTAACCTTACCTATAAATATAGGTTAGGTTAGGTTAGGTAGGGTTGGTTAGGTTCGGTCATATATCTACGTTAATTTTAACTCCAATAAAAAAAAATTGACCTCATACATAGAGAAAAGGGTTGCTTTATCATTTCATAAGAAAAAAATTATAGTAAATATATTAATTCAGGAAAACTTGGCTTATTAGGCAAATCGGGCCTTGAATAGTAGGCTGAGAAGTGAGTTCTGGCTACTAGGTACGACATATATATATATATATATATATATATATATATATATATATATGTCGTACCTAGTAGCCAGAACTCACTTTTTGGCCTACTATTCAAGGCCCGATTTGCCTAATAAGCCAAGTTTTCCTGAATTAATATATTTTTTCTAATTTTTTTCTTATGAAATGATAAAGCTACCCATTTCATTATGTATGAGGTCAATTTTTTTTTATTGGAGTTAAAATTAACGTAGATATATGACCGAACCTAACCAACCCTACCTAACCTAACCTAACCTATCTTTATAGGTTAGGTTTGGTTAGGTAGCCGAAAAAGTTAGGTTAGGTTAGGTTAGGTAGGTTAGGTAGTCGAAAAACAATTAATTCATGAAAACTTGGCTTATTAGGCAAATCGGGCCTTGCATAGTAGGCCAAAAAGTGAGTTCTGGCTACTAGGTACGACATATATATATATATATATATATATATATATATATATATGTATATATACATATATATATATATGTCGTACCTAGTAGCCAGAACTCACTTCTGAGCCTACTATGCAAGGCCCGATTTGCCTAATAAGCCAATTTTTCATATTTTGAATTAATTGCTTTTCGACTACCTAACCTACCTATACCTAACCTAACCTAAATTTTTCGGCTAGCAAACCTAACCTAACCTATAAAGATAGGTTAGGTTAGGTTAGGTAGGGTTGGTTAGGTTTGGTCATATATCTTCGTTAATTTTAACTCCAATAAAAAAAAATTACCTCATACATAATGAAATGGGTTGATTTTTCATTTCATAGGAAAAAAATTAGAGAAAAT